TGTACGCCAGCATCTGCTTCCTCACCTGCATCAGCATCCAGCGCTACTTCTTCCTGTACCAGCCCTTCAGGGCCAAGGACTGGAAGCGGCGCTACGACGTGGCCATCAGCGCCGTGGTCTGGCTCTTCGTGGGGGTGGCCTGCCTGCCCTTCCCCATCATGAGGGGCTACGGGCTGGCCAACAACAGCCACACCTGCTTCGCCGACCTCCAGGTGCGGCCCATCCGAAGCAGCGTGGCCACGGTGCTGATGACGGGCATGGCCGAGCTCTTCGGCTTCGTGGGCCCGCTCGTCATCATCTTGTTCTGCACCTGGAAAACAAAGAACTCCCTCCGGGGCTTCCACATCCCGCAGGAGAACAGCGGCGAGAGGCGCAAGGCCCAGCGGATGGTTTCCATGTGTGCCGTGGTGTTCTGCGTGTGTTTTGCCCCCTACCACATCAACTTCTTCTTCTACATGTTGGTGAAAGAGAAGGTCATCACCGACTGCTTCCTGAGCACCATCACGCTCTACACACAACCCTTCTGCTTAAGCCTCGCCAGTCTGGACTGCTGCCTGGATCCCATCATCTATTTCTTCACGACTTCAGAGTTCCAGGACCAGATATCCAGGCACAGCAGCATGGCCATCAGGAGCCGGCTCATGAGCAAGGAGAGCGGCTCGTCGGTTAAGGAGTGACAGGAAAGCCAGCTGAAAAAAACTCAGATATTTCATAGGAGATCTGGGACTGTTCTGGGATACTCAATTACCAACTCCATTCTGGAAGATCCTGCCAGTGCAGGGGAGTTTTGTGGCAGTGAAAATCTTTGATACACAGAAGATAAAACTCTGTCTATGACCGGTGTGTTGGGATCTGATGAGCGACCCAGCTGGTGTGACCCTCCCCACCCCTGGGCCACCCACACCCGACCTGGCTGGACTAGGAGACATACAGGAGGGAAAGACAAAGCTTTTGCTAGGAAGTGGTGGAAAAGTCCCAGGAGCTTTTCTTCTGTTTTCCCAGCTCCATGGCTCTAGGATGAAGCCAAAGACAATCCCACATCCATACACTGACATCTGCTGAAGTGTCTTCTCTGGGACAACCACACAAGAACATAAAAATGGCCAGTAATCATAAGAGACAACTGGGGCTGTGGACAGGTGGAGGCTCCAGCCCACTCCTGGCTTTGTGTGCATCCCACTGCTCACCACCTCTGCTTCAACTTTCCCACACTCACCTTCCCACTCCCCTCCTCCATTTCCTCCTCACCCACCTCTGTTTGCTCCTTCATTGCTGACACATCCTATAACTTGCACCTACAGCTGGTGCAAGACCCCCTGAAAGACAAGTCTCCTCCAGCACCTTCCCTTGCTCCGAGTGACTTTCTTCCCCTCCAAGCTACCCCTGTTGGCAAGGGGGGCATCAGGACATGTTCTTCACCTTTGGACCCCGAGGGACAGGACCACGGTGGTCCTGCCATTCGTGCCGGTGGATTTGTTGATGGTGGTGGTACCACTCAGGTCCTCACTCTCTTCTTTGTAGGGCATCTTGGGCCAGAGGTACCTGAGGTGAACCTGCCCCATAAAAGCTCAGCTCAACGAGTTCAATCGATGTAGCTTTTTAAAAGAGGTCCTTGCCAAGGTGATGCCACTTACAGAGCACAGGCTAAGTGCATAAATTATTGTGTTTTTTTTCTGCCAGCTCCTCTCATGATCCTAATGTTTACATTTTTATGTAGCTGTGCAAAGCAGTGACAAGGGAGGATGCCATTTACCCCTTACATTAAATTAGTGACAGCTCTTCAGCTAAGTCTACCCACTGTGTAACTTCCAGGGTATCCTTGTGATACCTGGGAGTTGATTTGGCTGAACACAGGCACCAATCTGTTGCCTTTGAAAGCCTGTATATTTTCAAGAGAATGTGTACAATTTGTACAATGTGCAGTCTTGCAACAGAAAATATCTTACATGTTGCTACAAAACCAGCAGAATGACCAGAAACACTTGCTAAGTGTATTTTAAATCTTACCATTCAATTCCACTGAGTTACATTTGAACTCGGCCAAATATTTTCTGTATGTTACGTTTTCCCACTTCTCTGTTTTACAAAACAAATGGGGGAAAGCAAACAGTAGCCAGGTTTAAACAACCATTTCACTGGAGTTGCTCTAAAAGGTGGTGGCACACTGACTAAGCACAATAAGCTCCCATAGTTCTCCTCCCACATGTGAGAAGATGACTGTGGGCTGCAGTAGCATGAACTGCATCCTGCACTGGGGTTGATGGAAATGTTTTCTGTGATGTGACTGGCAATTTGGGATGCCAGTGACACCCAGAATTGTTTACACACTGCAAGTAGTCCCTTCACAAAGGGGTTGATGCTCAGGTACAGAGTTAACCAGAATAAAATTGTTCTCAATTCAGCAGTTTCTCATAAGCTACACTCTGTATGATGTTGTCAGTGAAGGAGACTTTAGTTTTGAAGGTTGTTTTGAGGGTTTTTATAGACCTTGCTTGGCTGGCACATGGCTGGGAGCTGTTTCCTGTCATTTCTTTCTCATACAATCCTCCCTTGATCAGGTGAAAACAAGTCAAAGGCACCGTTACAGGAACTGTGTAGCTTGTTCTATGTTTTTCTTCCCAGGAACTGATGCTTTAAAAAATAAACACAGTTTTGCAAACACGAGCTGCATTTCATAGTTATCACTGGCATCTGGAAAAGTCTGTGGGATCAGCTCCTCCTTGGATTGAGGAGTTCAAATGATGGAGCACGTCAACTTTTATAGATTTCTTGCTTGTTCACAGAGAGGTTTTCACCCTCACTAGTGTTTGTTTATTTATTTATTTAAATCTACCACACTCACATTGAATTTAGAAGCTCCCCCGTTCCAGCCACTTGAGTTGTGTCACTGTGACATGCAGGTGACCAGATAACTCTGTGTTGTTCAGCTGCCAGATGGGGTTAAATCACAAAAGAAAGTCAGCCAGGATGGTCATGAGGGTGAACTGGCCTAGAGAGCAACAACTCGAAGCAAAAAGAGGTCAAGGAGAACTTGGAGTTTTCTGAAAGCACCTAAGAAAGCAAAGATGATCAGTGTGGCCTCCACAAACCCAGATGTGAAATCCAAACGTTAGTTCAGGTTCTCCAAGGCCTCAGTGTGTGTCTCAAGAGAAGAACAGACAAATCCAGAGTTCTGTTGAGAACAATATTTCAGGTGCCCTCAGGGCTGGTCAGGGCTTGATCTGACACAGGACCTGAGCTACAGGTGCTGGTTTATCTGCCAGTGCTCTCAAACATTCAAAGGTACAACATGCCCTGTTCCAGTTCCTGTAATTCACCCTATTTCCTGTGACCAGAAAACACGTTTATTATTTTGACAAGAGGAAACACAATTTCATGATGTTGCTCCTGGATTATCTCTTGTGCTGGTCCCACTGCCCAGACTCACCAGCTGTAAAAAGGCATCTTCATCCTTCTTGGGCAGACACAAAAAAAAAAGTGTTTCAACAGAGATGCCACAGAAAGGCAGAATTTAACCAGATCAAAAGGTTGGGAACAGCACAGTGCCAGGAATGTGAAGGGTGGATCTGAAGGGCTCGTGGTGCTGCGGGATCTTTGTGTCCAGACTGATCCTGAAGGGAACTGCTCAAGGTGGAAACATGGTAAGGTCTCCAAGCCACCTGCACAGACACAGTGCATGACCCCATGGCACAACCCTGGGCAAAACCACAGCATGACCTGTTCTTTTCCTCTAGAACACAAGCCATTTACCTGTTAGCAAAAGAAAATGTGTTTTCTGTGGTGCCACCCCATTTTAACCACTATCAGAGATCTGGTATCTCCTCTCCTGCTTGAAAGAGCCCCCCTGTGCACGACAGCAAATGTTTTGGGGAAGAAGCCCTGTGGGATTTAATGCCTTTCTGCAAACTCAGGTTCTGAGCTGCAGGATCTCGTGAGCACCCCACCTTCATTTGCTTCCCTTAAATGAAATTACTCCCTCTCTGCACAGAGAAAAACCAAAATATGCTGTAAATGCAGGATAACAGCTCAACAACCCCAAAATACAAAACTGCTTCATTTCATTGAAAAGATTTTGGGGATGACTGGTGCATTTTAACCAAAAATGCTGGTTTGTGGATTAGACAAGGGCTTAGCCCAAAAACTAAGGGAGTGATTGACAATTATTTGCTGCAAAAAATAAATCCAAGTTTCCCCAAAACGCTGCCCCTGTAGAGAGAACTGTGCAGGGCTGAGGGGGCTCACCAGCCCCATGGGCCACGTGCCAATGGCACAGCTCAACCCACAGCAAGTGTGCACAGGGGTGAGCTGCTTTGTGTGAACAAACCCTCCTCCTCCCCTTGTTTTTCATACATCCTTCAGGTGCATCCTGTCAGATATTCTCAGTGCTGAGCACTTGAGAGGTGCTCATCATCTGCATTTGGCCTCCTGCCCACAGGATACCAGGCTACAGGCGGAGACAACCTTCATCTGGAGGCCTTAGGGAAAGTCTCCCAGTTATTTAAAAATTCCTTTGTGCCTTCTGCCTTTGAAAGGAGAACATTGCCAAGTGTAAAATGCACGTTGATGTCAGTAATGAGCCAGAAATACAAACGCTACCCAAAAACGTGCTCTCAGTTGAAAGAAGAACAGAGAGGTTGAGTGGTGTGTGTTGAAGTAGGAGGCTTGATGTCAATCTATCAGCATTTCATGGCCAGGAACATTGTGATCTTCTCCAAAAGTTCTCCAAAACTCCAAGAAGCAGAGGAAGGACTCGACATGGTTACAAACCCCTCGCTGTGGTCCGACATCCCCCGACCTCTCCTTCCCCGGCTGTAAACAACCAGCTAAAAATAGGGCTCAGGGATGGCTGGATGAGCTGCTAGGGACACAGAAGTAGGATGTCCCAGGCAGGATATCCTGATAAAACAGCCACTTTGCTTTGGGATTAACCTCTGACCGCTGGGGAGGGCCGGGCACAGTGCCAGCCTCCCTGCTGGGATCTGGGAATGCTTCACAAGTACACCAGCTCTGCTCCTTCTTCCAGGGATCAGCATCAGCTGCTGCAAAAGATGCCCAGGAGGAAAACCTGGAATGATAAACACTTCTTGCATCTTCCAGATCCCTTTGCTGTCAGTGGAGATGACCAGTGTGGGGCTCAGGTTGCCCAGAGAAGCTGTGGCTGCCCCATCCCTGGAAGTGGCCAAGGCCAGGTTGGACGGGGCTTGGAGCAACCTGGGCTAGTGGAAGTTGTCCCTGCCCATGGCAGGGGGTGGGAATGAGATGGTCCTTAAAGTCCCAATCCAAAGCATTCCAGGATTCCATGATTTCCTTGCAGAGAGAAACCTGGCAGCTGAGTGGGTGGCAGAGCTGATGGATTCTGGTGTATCCTCAATCCCAGACCCTGAACTGGGAACTAAAGGTTCCTTCTTTCATTTCTCTTCCACAGCTCTGTTCCTGTTAAATTTGAGGGGTCAGAGAACCAGTTACAGAAAACTGATGAATAGAGCAAGAATGGTTCTATTTATACTTTACCTAGAACTAGAAAAGGAAAGATGCCAACAGCCAGATAATCCATAGAGCTTTGGGCTGTGAGGTGTGACCCTGGACATCAGGTAAAACCGTTCAGCTGGAAATGAGGCACCTCAGAAGTTACACCACAGTATGTATATGCCTGCAGTGCTCAGCAATGCAGAAAGGTGGTCATGCTCAGCAGGCAGTAAAAGAACTAAAAATTATATATATATATATATATATGCATATAGAAAGGCAAGGAACTAAAGG